TGAATTAAAAACACTGATCATTTATTGAACAGGATGGAATCATTTCAGAAGTTTGAATTCTGAATCTGAGCGAACTTTTCCTTGAAAGCCTGAAAAGACAAAGAAACGTTTACAGTTTGGAGCCACAGACGGGATGAGTCCATCACGCATTTAGAGATTTATTGTGAACAGTTTTTCTCTCAGCCTTGATTAGCCTCCCTCTCACAGCGTTCCCAGTGTTGCATTGTTGTGGTTCCTGTCGTTTCCCTTTGCTGTTTTTGTTGGAGGTGAAACTCCTCATTTAGAAAGTTGGAGAACGACATTCTGACAGCTTCTCAGAGTTCTGCTTTCCTCCCATTTAGTCGGCTTGTTCTCCGCAGGTTCTCCACCCGGTGTGTCACGTTCGGAACCTGATGCTGTGGACGGCGGTGTACCTGCCCAGCTCCTCCCCCACCACCCCCTCCGATGACTCCTGCGCTCCCTACCCCGTCCCCGGTGCCAACCCGGAGGATGCGCCCCTGGGCAGGTGAGCCTGGCGCATTGGCACCCGAGCCCCTCCCTCTTCCTGCTCCATGTAAGATAAACACAAACCGCTGATTGAACAGCCAGAGGGTCCGGGCTTAGCGACCCTCTTTGAACGCACTATCCAGGCCTCGCTGCAGGTCGCCCAGCGGGCACACAGAGCCTTGCAAAGGTTTTCCCACCATCTATCCAGATTACAAAGTTTGTTTATCACATAAGAAGTTTGTGGCTAAAAGTAAAGGTGGGCGATATATTGAATATACTCAAAGTTTCTAGAGTTTTCCTAGGCACGTTAAAATGACGCAGCCATCGACTACAAACTCGCATTAGTTTTATTTTTCCCACACAGTTTGAATGCATCATAAACCCCTCCTCTGAACATGTTTACGTTCTGCGCGGCGTCCACGCACGCTACAGCAATCAGCAAACGAAATATGGCGACAGCAGGTGTTTCAGCTGAACGATATACGGATTTCAGGCCGAGGACGTCGAACATTTGTAAGACGTCCTGCAAAAACCTTTGCTACTAAAGATAGCAGTAAAAATGTATTCCACCACTTAACATCGGCTGCAACCATGAAGAATGTTTAATAAACTCTGCATGTCAGCGTCTCCCCGCACAGCAATTACGTTCGATAAATCAGCTGTGAAGCCGCCTCGTCGTTTGAAGAAGCGCCCCCATGTGAGAGAAACAGGGATGGAGGGAAATCACAGACGCTATTTATGATGTGATTTAAATGTTTTTTAGATGCTCTAACACCTGTGATGTGACGTTCAGAGGTTTTGCAGCAGTTTTCTAAAGATGGCGATGTTCTTAATTTTACATCTTTTCCATTGAACTTTTACAGCAAGTAAAGATTAATGCAAATAGTTGGGAGACGCTCTGATAATGAGCTAATTTTTGGAAGGTATTTCGACTTTTGCTTTCATAATTTAAGCTCAGTTTATTTATTCATTCTGCTTTTTTTTATATATATAATTCACAAAAGAGCCTTTATACATTTAGCATTTTATTTAGTATTGCTTGTTTTTTGCTTTGTTTCCTGTTTTG